TTGCTCACTTTTTATTTTTCTCATCATTCAAATTTGGTAGGATTGGTCACAACACTCTTCTCTGTCGTGTGTTAAATTACCGAGACAATATTTTTGCTTGACAGTGTCTTTAAATTTTTTTGACCTTATTTTCGTGTCTTCGTTTAATTCCGCAAGCGTCGTGATCATATTTCATTTCCCTCCACACACTGTACAACAGCTTGTCATGCATAAAAGGTTTTCATTCTTTCCTCAGCCGTTGTTTTTTTAAATTTTTTTTTTATTTAAAGGAAAACATGGCCTTATTTCTTTCTCTCTTGTGCATCATGTTAGTGAGCGTGTACTGGGTGTTGTGAACAGTGAGGGCCTTCATGACCCAGGTCCCATCCGCTGGCCCCTGGCATTGTGCCTCCTGGTTGCCTGGCTCATTGTCTTCCTGTGTATGCTCAAAGGAATCCACAGCGCTGGCAAGGTCACCCGGTTTCATGACATCATCCCGTGCCTTGTGTCAGTTGTGCTCAGGGCGACCTATACTCTTGTGTTTTTAGGTGGTTTATGTCACGGCTACATTCCCGTACTTAGTCCTAATTGTTTTGATCATCAGAGGTGCGACACTGGAAGGCTCTCTTCAGGGCATTGCTTTTTACCTGATGCCAGACTGGAGGCGATTATCCAGTGCACAGGTACCGATAACAGCCCATGAAGAGGATTTGGTGGCTTTAAAAACAACTGCGGGTTCTTTTTTTTTTTTTTTCTTTACCTGAAATATTCCTTCTCAAATCCTAAAGGTATGGAACGATGCAGCTTCACAGATTTTCTACTCATTGGGTATTGGAATTGGAGGAGTGCTTTCTATGGCCTCCTATAATAAGTTTGACAACAACGTCATCAGGTGAGTTCACTTACAGGTGCAGCATGCCCACAGGGAATTGCATTGTCCCTTAATCTTGTTTCTTTTGATTTCAGGGACACAATCATTATCACCACGGGAAACTGCCTCACAAGCTTTTTTGCAGGATTCGCTATATTCTCAGTCCTGGGCCACATGGCGTGGAGGAGAGGGGTGCCAATTGAAAACGTGGCAGTTTCCGGTAGCTGCTTTATTACATTGGAGTTATGCTTCCCTTTGGAAGCAGCACATGGTAGTCAAACAGTGATGAGCACGTGAGGGTCACAACCAAGATTTTTATGTTTTCTCTCAATACTCTGGCTATCACACATACTCCAAAATCATGCGTGGGTGAACTGAAGACTCTAAATTGCCCATATGTGTGAATATAAGCGTAAATGGTGGATTTTTTTCTGCCCCGCAATTGGCTGGTAACCAGCACTGTGTGTGCCAAAGTCATCTGGGATAGCCGCCAGCTCACCCACGAGCCTTCTGAGGATAACTGGCATAGAAGATGGATGGAATGTAAATGTTATGAATAGATGCATCTTTCCCAAAAAACATTTCTATGATGTACCTTTTTTTTATTCCTCATGTATTACACTGACAAGGGGAAATTCATTGCACATATCGCTGTCAGGGCTTTTAATTAGAACTTAACGTTGCTTGCAAACATGTGACACAGTCACCTCAAGTCGCACCTGCACTTTTGTCGACTGGATTGAATAGCACCTTTGACAGGTGTTAAATGAGCTATGTGGAAGAACTGAGCCATGAATTTGTTCTCGTGCCAAGAATGAAATAATTACTATCATTAAAATATGGTTTCACCAAAGTATTATTCTCTTGTAATCGCCAATATTCAAATGATGTTTGTTTTTTCTCTTGGTTGCAGGGCCGGGATTAGCATTTGTAGTTTACCCAGAGGCCCTTGCTCTGCTGCCAGGTTCAGCGTTCTGGTCCGTTCTCTTCTTTCTGATGCTTTTTATGCTGGGGATTGACACACTGGTAAGACTCCTATTTATTGGCATGCATGCCTTGACAGACACGTTGTCTGATCCTTTGTGCTCTTCCACATCACAGTTTGGCAACATCGAGGGCATAACCACTGCGGTCCTAGATGAGTTCCCACAACTGCGAGGGAACACCAAGCACAAATCCTTGTTTCTGGGGGCTCTCTGCTTTTGCTTCTACCTGATGGGTCTCTTGTTCGTCACTGAAGTAGGTTGTGTGTTTTTTTTAAATCGCGGCATCCACCGTGCACATCCACTATCCTCGCCATTTTTTTTTTCATAGGGGGGCATTTACTGGTTCACTCTAATCGACTCCTTCAGCACTAGTTTTGGCCTCATCATCATCACCCTCTTCATGTGCATTGGCATCTCCTTCTTCTATGGTAGCACATCTCGCTTCACCACCCGTCATTCATATTCTTCTTATCTTTATTCTGCGTGTTAACTTTGATACCGCTTAATGATTTTGGTTTATCAGGAGTCAACCAGTTTTGCCAGGACATCATCGACATGATCCGTCACTGCCCTCCCTGGTGCAGCAAATTTTTGTTGTACTTCAAAGCATGTTGGGTATTCTTCACTCCATTTCTTCTTTTGGTGAGTCGACATGAACTTTGTTAGTTGTCATCGCTATCCATAGTGTGATATTAAAGATTGAACACAATTCTTTCCAGTATGCTTGTCGCCCTTTCATTGGAACGCCCAGTGAAGCACAACACCATTTGCTAAATTCCCAAACAACGGTGAACTCGACCTGCCTCAGCACAAACACGAAGATAGATTTTACGCCGCACGCATATCCGCTTGACTATGAGAATAGTACCCTTCTATTTTATAGCTATGTGCAATGCCGTCAGCAGGACTCAAACCCACTTTGGGCCCATCCATGTTAATGTCTCAAATTGAAAATACTCCTTGATGGATAAAACTGTCATGTCTAGTCAAATGAGCCGGAGTCAACTTTCACGTTTGAAATAATGCAAGAGGAGATGTGCGCTGAACCTGAGCATTGCTTGTCACTCTTTAATTGATCTTGGAACTTTGCGTCATCCTTGTCGTGACTCACTCTGTTTCTGTTTGGGATTGTAGTTCATCCTGACCTACATCTTCATTGAGATGTACAGCACGTCCCTCCGTTACGGCAGTTATGTGTATCCTCGCTGGGGGAAAGCGTTGGGGGTGTGCATGGCTACAACCTGCTGCCTACAGATCCTCATCTGGGCCATCATAGCCATCTGCAAAGAAACTGGAACACTGAAAGAAGTCAGTATCATGACCTGTTCATGATGATTCAAACTACAAAGCTTTACTATGAGTCCTGTATGTATTTTCTGCAGCGTTTCCACAAATCAATTCGACCCCTTAACTCCTGGCGGATTAATACCAATGCAGGGGCAATGGAGCGGAGCATGGATGCAGAGAGGGTGGAGGGTCTATTCACAGTTACTCTCACGGATATGGACTTCAGTGCAATGACATGGGAGGAGGGAAGAGAGATTTGACGGCCTGAGGAACAATGACCACACCGAGATGAGCAGACTGTTTTCTTGATAAAGAACTGAAAATATGACATACTCAAGTTGCCCTAGGTTGGCTTTGGTGGTAGTTTCTGAACACATCTGCAGGATGTTGTAGATCTAGTGAACAACATAAGGAACTTTAGCATGGTAGCGGCGGCCTCAAGTGGTGCAAAAAGGGTACTGATGATGGAATTTACTCGAGCAACGTCCTTCAATACTGCATGTTGATGTCGTTAGTTTGAGTATCAAATTAGCACTGCCGTGGCTGATCGATGTTGGGTGAAACAAAAAGAAGCCAAACAATCTTGTTGAACAATCTTGAATGAAAAAATAAGTTGCCATCATACGAAGAATAATTTTATTGTTACATAAGGCTGCTTTGTTTATGCTGTATTTTTAAATTATTTAAATAATGTGTCTTTTATTTGAATTGTTAGCTCCTACAGATCTAATGTATCAGGTATATTGATTCTGATTATCATATTAAGATCATTTACTACTTTTTTTTTTTTAAGTCTAATGGAATTCCACTGATTGCAGTTGATGTTAGAATACAGTCTCTTTTGGAACGGGGTTTATTGCCACAAATATACACCCAAAACAAAATATACTTTCCAAGATGAATAATAAATATGTGTATAATATCCATTACGTGTATGAATAACTGAATAAATCTTAACATTATGTCTTTTATAGTAGTGGCTGCATATCTATTTCATTGCCAAACACATTTAAACACGTTTTGCAGGGTGAATCGTCGTTCTTTACAGTCAAACCTCGGTTTTCGAACGTCTCTGTTCTCGACCAAATAGGTTTTCAACCGAAAATTTCGAGTTTTTTATGCCTCGGATGACGACCGAATTTCGGTTCTCGAACAAACTGAGCACGTCACTTGACTCCTCCTCAACTTCCTTACACGAGGAAGTGACGCTTCCTCGGGTAGACGATGAAGTGACGCTTCTTTGTGTAGAGTTCCAATGTGAACAGACGTGTTCAATAAAGATTTTTTCTTAAAAGAGTGTGGTTTCGGTTTCGAACAAATCGGTTTTCGAACAGCGTTCTGTAACGGATTATGGTCGAAAACCGAGGGAAAACTGTATATGTTAGCATACATTTAGGATTTTTGTCTCAAAAGCACACATGCGACCAGAGGAGGGTAGTGGTGAGTCAAAGTGCAGTTGTATCCACCGAAACTCGCATACGATGAAATTGTCAATTTAGATAATCATAGTCTCGCCACAATGTACAATAAATACATTATTCGTTTATTCTGAACACAAGTACAGTGTTATCATGAGTTTACTGTTTAGTGTGTTAAAACAGACAGCCCTTCAACTCTTTGTGACGTTTAGATGGCAGGACAAATGGAAATCAGCGGATGTTGCGTATACACTTTCCCGCGGTTTTGTCTTATGAGTTTGGGTTCGCTCGTTTCGAAGGTGCTCATACTCTTCCGGTCACATGATGCTGATGTTCGCTTAGCAAAACAACCAACCTAACGGGCACTGCAGTTATTTAAATTTGTATTAGTTGCGCAGTGGTTTCGGGTGATATAGAAATGACATTACTGACATAAAAATATAAAATTTGTTTTTATACAACTACGTGGGCACGTAGTAGTCGCACGAAACGGCGTTTTATATCCAACGTGCATTCCCGTAATTAAAATCGAGCACACTAAATATTGGTTTCCGTAAGTCATCCATGTTTTGTGTTGATGAAACGCACCCTCTGGATTTGGGATTTAAATTCAGTATTCAAAAATTAATAACAATCTGATTGTTCAATTTGACATTCTTCAAGACTTGCCGCATCTGCTTGTTTGTTAGCGGGATACAAGGATGCCACCTCAGAGGCGTAGTGCCGGCATGAGCCAAAACAAAGAGACGAAAAAGAGACCTGAAAGTTCCTCTACGGACTTTAAAACGAGCACGGAGTTATCGGTTAAAAAGTAAGCCACCTCAATTCCATTTAACTGACACTTTAGCACATGTTTAGTTCATGAACACGCTTGTTTCAAGTCATGTTAAGACTGTTGTTGACATACTAACCACTTCAGCTAGCTAGGTCCTTTTATAATCGGATGCTACGTTCACAGTAAACATACATTGGGTACAACAACACAAACCTCTAAGACCAGTGCGGGAGCTTTTACATAGGTACTTCTCTTTACTTAGTTTTACACGATTAGAAAAGTATTAATTCAACAAAATGTGTTGAATGTAATTGCGCTTCATCTTGTTGGGAAATAGTTCGAGCAACATTTTTTGATACTTTCACCAAGACAATAACGTTTCTTGACGTTGCATACTTGGTGTGGATATAATTCGTATGTTATTTATTTATTTGTGTGTTTTTTTTTTTTTTTTTTTTGTCCGTCCTCATTGTCTAGGCACAGAGACAAGGATGCCGACTTCGTTACTCTGTGCACAAGCCTTCATGTGTCCGATCTGGTTTGTGACCGTACTTGGAAGATGTACAAAGGTCTACAGGAGTCCCTGGATGAATTTGCTGTACGTATGGCATTGTCATTCAACCCGAGGACATTTATCACCACTCCATTTGTTTGTGAGTCTTAATTGGTTTGAGTGGGGTGACAGATGGTTTCAATCTGTTTGATGACGATATTGGAAAGACTGGTCAAGGTGTAGGCTAGTTTAATGAAGTAAATTGATTGATTGATTGATTCAGTGCTTTATTGGAACATAGAAACAGAACAAAAAAGACGTGTGTACAATTGAAAACGAAAAAAAGGCCAGCAAATTACATCCTTTGGTCTGTTCAAAAGTAGTAGCAGGAAATAAAAAACTAAAAGCATCTCATTTTAAAAAGTGTTTAGAATTAGACACACTTTGTTTTAACCACTCAGTTCTATTCTATAGAGATGGTGACCATTGAAATAATTCCTTAGTGATTTCAAAGGTTTTTAACTTTTCAAACATCTCACTTTAGGAGGATCAAAAAAGGTTGTGGGCTGCCTCTTTGTTTGCGGTTGTGACCGACATGGATGCTGCTTCCTTCACCGTAACTCAGGTCCTAAAAGCAGTCTCTATGAAGTAAGTAGTCATGTCTCATTATGTTACTGCAGTACCTGCAAATAAGTCGTTTTGATTGGACGTTCAGCTGACATGAGTCTGCTCAACTAAGTATTCTATTTAGCAACGGACTGTTTATTGAACCCATATTTATAAAACCCACTCACTGCACTTGAAATGTTTGTATTATTGTTACACTGCAGTTCACCGATACTTGTTTCTAAATTCAGTATTTGCCCCTGCTCTCTAATGTAAAGAACTGAATCTTTGATATGGATATGTCAATGAAGTGAAGAGGTCTGTTTAGGTTGCTGCTCATATATGTTTTAATCTTTTTTCTTCTCCAAATCTTTTTAGTTTAAAGCAGTTTCTGGCTCTGGTTCGGAAGTTGGACATCAACTTGGACACAATAAGCACCAAGGTCAATTCAGCGCTGACACGCTTGGACAACAAACATGATGTGACCCTGGCTCTTTACCAGAAGTTTGAGAAGTGAGTAAACACACATACCGGTGCAGTTAAAGAGGCCGAATTTGAAGTCGAAATTGATTTTCCAATGTAATCATGTTTGTTGTTTCAGGACATGCAAAAAGATCTTTGCTGAGGCCCCCGAGTCAAAGTAAGTTGAGCACTTTCCTGCTTGCCTTAAAAGTTGCATGTTGAGGCATTATTCACTGTCTGGTTTTCCAGGGAGAGTGAGATCACACGGACCTGCTGGACGATGTTTCTTTTGGCCAAAGGTTAGTTCAGTTTTTAAAAGCACGAGTCACGACCAGGGCAAGCTGTAAATACATTTGTTGAAATTATTTCCCTTTTGCTCTGTGTTCTTCTTCTCAGTTGTCCTTCCTTTTTGGTTTCAGTGTCTGGATTGGAATGTTCTGGTCGTGATACTTGCGTTTCTGTTGCCTAACAGTGGATCGCTTATATTGTGGTGATGATTCTCATGCAGGAAAGGCCTTGCAGATGGAGGATGACCTGGTCATATCGTTTCAGTTGCTGCTGTGCACGCTCGAGTTATTCATCAAGAGATGCCCCCCTGATATGCTCCAGCCTCTTTACCGTAAGACACCGTTGTCATTGGTTGCCGATTGCAAAACGTTCGTGAACACGGAAAAATATGACCCTTACAATGTCATGGTATCGGGTTGTAAATTGTTGCACTCACTTGAGTGGTGCTGAGATAGTTATGTTTTAAATGTACAATAAATACGGTATTGGTATTTATGTGTGCCAAAAGTAATTGTACACTTCTGTGAGGCCATTAGCATTTGACTGCTTTGACCTCACGTCAAACAAAATGGTAAAAAAGGAATTGAAATGCGTCTTTTAGGACACCCTGTATATATGTAGGTTTCTAGATTTTTATTGATGACAAAAAAATATTGTTTGATGACATTGAATTTTGTGAATACGTTCCCGTTTGTTAGTTGGACTGTGCAGCAACATTGACAGTCTGCAAATCGTTTCCACTCAGCAGCCACTGAACAATCACATCTTTATTGATTTTCTCAGAATCAGCCATCAGCAAAGTCCAAATCCCCGTCACCCGAACGTCACGTCGCAACCAAAACAATGCCAAAGCGCGCCCTGTGGTGCCAGAGGTGGACATGCAGCTTCTTGAAACCTTGTGCAAGGAGAATCAATGCAATGTGGATGAGGTCTGTGTCGCTCTTATCTTGTGCTCTGCACTTGATAAACATCATATTGAATATCGATGTGCCCTGCACTTCTTCGTGCTAATTGCATTTGTAGGTTAAAAATGTCTATCAGACCAGTTTCTCCGCCTTCCTGGTGTCTCTGGATCTTCTCAAAGCTCCCGGTCTTCCTCAGGTACGCCTTGTGAATGTTGTTACAAAAAGGACTAGCCTTATTGTGCCCACACTGTTTACATTAGTTCTCACTTCCTGGTGCCTGCTCAGTTGTTGAACGTTGTGCATCATAACAATTTGTTATTGTCTTATCTTCCCTGCCAGTTAAATTGATATTTTACACTGATAGCACGCCACTATTTGCTGACAAGCAGTATTTTATATTTGATGCGTCTGAAGCACACCAGTACAGTATTTACTGTATCTTAGTGCAGCTACCGGCGAATAAACAATTTCTGTGTGAAACGTATTCAAGCTACTTAGGTTACTCACTGTGACTTGCCGTGATTGAGGTCATTTGACAAAAAAAATTGCAAATTGTCCTTTCTGGTTAAATGACTGTAGTTTATTTCCAGTGAAACCATTTGCAATATTTATTTCATTACTTTGTAACATAAACATCCAATTATTGCAATAAAATATATCGAAAAATCTGTTTGTTTGTTTTTTTTTATATTCAATATCATCCTCAACCCATAGCTTTACTTCTCCCCGCAGGCCAGTAGCATCAACCAGCAGTATGAAGAGCACTACCTCAAGAGTCGAGACATTGACGCGCGATTGTTCTTGGACAGTGACGAGACACTTGTTGCGCCCAAAGTGGATCCGTAAGGATTTTGAAATCCAAACTACCTCCTGGTGTAATGGGAATTAGGGAAAACAAAACATTCATTCATACATCCTCCCTCCAGGGTACAAGTGGAGAGAACGCCCAAGAAGAACATGCTGGAAGAAGATGCCATGCCCATCCACCAGACTCCAATCAGGTGAGCACCACATACAGTCGGTGTTGAGGTCATGTAAATTAGATCAAACGGGACCTGTTAGGTGTGCTTCAGATCATAAATCAGCTTTTTTTGGGCGCGGGGTGAAATGTCAGGACTCACATGTGCACCCCTCACTGAAACAAATAATCACCACACTTCAAATATTTTTTTAACTATTGTTATTGGTGTGGGAGAAAAAAAACAGTTAAAAATGCAAATAAAATGTCCCTTCTGCTAGTAGATGCCCAGTAATCTCTGCAATTTATTAAATGAACATCCCCAGCCTATATAGGACTGTATATGAAGGGAAGGTTAGTCATAGATTATTGCTGGATGCATATATTAAGTTTTTAAAATAACATTTTGCCTGTTTGGTTTGTTTGTTTTTTTTTCTCACCAGAGCCGCGATGAACTCCATTCAGCAGTTGAGAGGAGATCTCATTTCTCGTGGCGACCGGCCGTCCACCAACTTAGTGACCTATTTCAAGGCGCGTTTCCCCAAATGTTTGCCGTACTTAAAATAGCGGCTAATGTCCCTGTGTGACTTTTCGCCTTTTTTTTTAAAATTTATTTATTTATTTTTAATCAGAACTGCACCGTGGACCCAACTCGGGATGTCCTGAAGCGCTTGGAGACAATGGGACCAAAATTCAGCCAAAGGTTTGCTGAGGCAGTTGGCCCGCGCTGCATCACTCTCGGAAAGCAGGTATAAAGGAATAGTCAAGTTGACACTGAGCAACGTTTGTGCCAAGTATTGTGCCTAAAGTTTTTTTTTTTTGTTGTTTTTTTTTTTTTTTGTTTGTTTGTTTTTAAACCAGAGGTTTACACTTGGTGTCAAACTCTACTACAAAGTCATGGAGGCGATGCTAAAATCGGTACAGTATTTGAGTCAAGTTTTTTTTATTCCCCCCCACCCTCACCCCCACCCTAGAAGTATCATTTAGCAATTGTATTCCAGAAAATCTGGTTTTGTTGATAAATTTGGATTGAGAAGATGAATATTAGATCATGAATCCTGTTTAACTGAATGACACTTGAACTGATACTACTTTCTCTCGCCCCCTCCAGGAAGAGAAACGACTTTCTGTGCAAAATTTCAGGTACTATTGATTTGAAATGTTCTAATCATGGGTTCATTTCTACTTCAGCTGACTTTTGGAAATCTTGAATTGCTTTTTCACGTTGTGATATTTGGTGAAGCATTCTTGGCTTTAATTCACTTGCAATCCATTTCAGTAAACTCCTCAATGACCCGACATTCCACACATCACTCTTGGCTTGTGCACTGGAGGTTGTCATGGCAACATACGGAGGTGTGTTTTTAAACGTTATAGTTTTAAAATGTACTCTATCAAGATCACGTTCGTCTGGAATCTGGGCATATCCTAACATTGGTTGGCTTCTCATTATTAGAGAGCAGTTTTAAGACCGGGGGATACAATAATGGCCGTTGTGGTGGCATCCCTGGCGAAGCGGACCTGTGCTTTCCGTGGATACTGGATGTTTTGAACCTCAGCGCTTTTGACTTCTACAAAGTCATCGAGAGTTTTATCAAAGCAGATGTGACTCTGAGCAAAGACATCGTCAAGCATCTTGAGACCTGCGAGAACCTCATCATGGAACGGATCGCATGGAAGACGGTCAGTGGGATTTAGCAAATCGCATACAAACATAAAAGAGCAACGGTGAAAGTCAATTTTAGTCCCCAAGCCTGAAGTCACGCGGGCTGACTTTGGTCACGTCTCATGCATGTTTTTATGTAGGTGATTCCAGAGAGTACTTGACATTTTACTTGCTCAAATCTGTGCAAATGGGTGTCGTTAGGCTTGTATCACATGCGCATTTTTGGCATGTTGTGATTGACTTATTTTGAAAATCAAGATGGAATGAGTTGCTTTATATTTTGCAGCTTTCTTGCTGATGGTATTATCCATGCAACAATTTTCAGCGTCAGTAGGGCCAAGGATTACGTTATGTGGTGCGTATTACCACCAAGAGGTGGTGCACCCGGTCTGGTAGTCAAGTTATTTGCAAGGCATATATTAACTAGCAGTGATAACATTCATACGCATGTAGTCTGAATTCAGAGTCTTGAATGAACCTAACATGTTTCAGGAATAAATTCCACACAAGCACAGAGAACATCCAGAAGCTCAGAACTGTGAGGCAGACATGCTGCCTCACAGTTTATTTATTAGGTAAGATGTCTGTGAGGACATAGAGAAAATGAGATATTGATATATTTTGTGTTATTAGCGATCCTATTCCTGTTTCAGCTACTCTCGCATGGGCAATCGATAAATGTGCTTCTTTATTTTTTTCATTCTTGAATATTATTTGTTGCTGACAAAGGGCTGCTCAACACGTCAGCCCATTTATCAGTAATATAAATGTGAAAATTTTACTCTCGTTGAGTAACTATAGTTGATGCATCTGAGGCAGTGGACAAAGTGGTTCCGGCATTGAAGTGGTGTCATTGATAGAGGTCGAGACAGAACTAGTCAAAGTGAAATGTGCTTTTCCCATATCAGTGGCTCCTGCTGCTTCTTCCGCCAGGAACCTCCCTGCATAGAAAGCGACTGGAGAAGTAATAGATGAGCGGGTTCAGGCAGCAGTTGAAGCTGGCCACTGACAACACCACCGGGTGCGCTACCTTTGTCACCTTGGCTAGGCCGCAGCTGGGTAGCACCCCCACGTGTGTAAGCGTGTAGCCCAGCAAATTGACGTGATAGGGGATAAAACAGATCATGAAGACCCCCAGCACCCAGTAAATAAGGGTGAGAGTGTATCGGCGACCACGGCGGGGGCTGCGTCTTGCCTGCCGCAGAGTACTCAGCAGCCGGCAATAGCTGTAGAGGAGGATGGCTGTGGGCAGCAGAAACGAGGTCATCACCACACCCAGGGCTGTTAGTATGATTCTGCGGTGGCGCTGTGACGTTGGGTCCAGCAAGCAGGGCTGGTCCCGGCGGGCCGCCGCATAGCGCAACGCAGGCAGACTCACACTAAGCCCCATCACCAAAAACCAAATCGCCCCACTCAAGAGCCGCGCGTTGCGCTCCCTGCGTCGTGATGACGCAAACGGACGCACAACAGCCAAGTAGCGGTCGACAGCAATGCACACCAGGAAGAAAATGCCCCCATAAAGGCTGATGTATTTGAGTGTGAAAGTGAACTGGCAGTATGCCGCACCAGGACTCCAAGCATCTTCCAGCTTTGAGGACAGAGCGCGGGCCTTTTGACGGTAATAGTAAATTCGTAGCGGCAGCGAGACGATGAAAAACAAGTCAGCTGTCGAGAGGTTGACCAAGTAGATGGCCGTGCTGTTCATGGCGCAGCGAGAGCCGCCGCACAGTCTGCGCAGAGCCAGGCTGTTAGTGGCCAAGCCCAGTAGGAAGATGATGCTGTAGGTCACTTGGTAGAACATGAAGCGGTAGCTGGTGTCTACGGTGCAGCTGAACCAAGATGCGCTTTGATTGGCAGACGGCGATGGCTCAGTTACGTTCCACACCTCCATGACTCGAGATGCCGTAAACCCCGACGTCTGTTTCTGTCGGAAATGAGGTCATTTTATGAGAACATAAAATGGAAGCTGGAACATGTTCATGGGCTTCAGGTGGAGCAATCAAATCAGTGGCAGATGGAAACTTCATAAAGCCGTGGACAACTGGCTTCATTAAGTGTATATTGACAGAGGCCATATAAACACACAGCAGTCCTTAAGTAGTGGGTTGATCCCCCTCACCTGTCAGATGATTATTTCTCTCTCTCTCTCTCTCTCTCTCTCAGTTT